TGGGGGGGGAGGTCCTAGTACTTACTCCAGCAGCTGGGATATATCTTAGTCAACCAGACCCCTCTGCATTCTCCTTCTCCAGTCCTGCCCCATGCAGAGCCCTCAGTCAGGGTGGTACAAGATGCATGGGGCAGTTCACACCTCTCAGAGCTATTGCTTCAGGCTGTCTGCAGACTAAGGCTTAGTCTACAATAGCAACTAAGTATAACTACGTAGTTATACCAAACTAACCCCTCCGCAGACAGTGCTGTGTCGACTGGAGGGCTTCCGCCTCTCAGGGAGGTGGATTAACTACCCCGATGGGAGAAGCTCTCATGTCAGTGCAGGTAGCGTCTTCACTAAGTACTTCAGCTGTGCAGCACTGTAAGTGTAGACAAGCCCTCAGGCAGATCACTCAGCCTCAGTTACACTCAATTAATATTTTCAAACTTTTCTTCACAACCATGAGAACTTACATGTCTTAAATTCTGATATAATCACATGACTCCAGGTACTGGGGCCCTAGGCACAGGCTGATATTGCTTGTGCCTTAATTCAGTCCTGGCATAGGGTGATCATTTGTTCCCATGCTGTGTTTTTATACATTTGCTGAAGGAAACAGGTAACTTTACAAATAATTTTTGAACCACTTGCAGGAAAATTGGGAAACGCTAGCTTCCACCCAGCCTCTCCAATATGAATTTCACTTGTCCAAGAATGGGCCTGTGAGATTCCATATGCTGTTACTCCAGATTCATTTATCTATTTCACATGGATTGCAAAATCCAATTCTCGAGACTGGGAAGGGACCCAAATTTGTCCTTCTAACAAGCTTCCCTGTTATCAAATCAGCTAACTACATGGAATGTCTGTGCTTTGAGGTAACTGAATGCTGCTCTCTGCACAGCCTCGGGGGCAAGATGACATCTCTTCTCACAAGACAGGGGCCTGTGGAAATCTCAAATCACCTTGAGTCACAAACGGGATCCGAGCTGCCGCTACATTTCCAGGATGAGAGTTTCTCATTCTGATTGACATGGCACTGGAGATAGCATGATGTAACTGAACAGCCTAAAGGCCCATTTTTGTTGTGCATAGTCATGTCTGTAGCATTTTTGAGGTTTTATACACCCTGCACATAACACCTACTGTAAAATGCATGGCGTGAATGTCCTCTACAGATGTTATCTGGCTCCAAGGACAATGGCAGTCAAATAATAATTCCTAGGATTATGGTATATTGAAGGCTGAGGCCAATATGCGCAACCTAAAGAGCTGTTTTTACCCCAAGGTATTTTTTCTTTTACTGTTCAATGGCATTGAAGGTATCCCTTTTAGCTTATCTCCCTGGTACACTGGAGTCACTATGAAAACAGAATACCCCCTCCGCTGCCTGTCTGTGCAAAGCCCAGGTAAAAAGGGGTTCAGAGACTGACTCAGCTGCGGGATACCTCCTCCGCCCCTTCGCAGTGGTCGGTCCAACCCCTGGAATTTATCAGCTCTTACTGACATTCAGTGAAAATGTTGGGCAACTCATAAAGTGCTTGCAGATGCTTGGTTACGCAGATTGTGTGACCCATTGCTAACACCTGCCTTTGCTCTCTGATAGGAGGACTACAATCAGTTGAGACCTCTCTCCTATCCCAGCACAGATGTGTTCTTGATCTGTTTTTCTGTGGTGAACCCTGCCTCTTACCACAACGTCCAGGAAGAGTGGGTGCCTGAACTGAAAGTCAGCATGCCGCATGTGCCTTATGTGCTCATAGGAACACAGGTAGCTACTAACTGGGAAGCCTATTGACCAGCACAAGGGGTCTGGAACTCTACAGTCAGGTGGGCCTTGTGAAACCTCAAAGCCAGGTGGAACTTACCCAGATTGAGGTTTGGCGGCAGTCCTGGGGTTCCCTGAAAACTCTGCTGTTCTGCACACACCTGCTTCCACTCTGGCAGACCTGATACCAAACTTGCAACTCAAAGGAAACCTAAGGGGCTGCAACTCACATGAACTGAAACAAGCAGGCTTCTCCAAGCCCCATGCAAACGTAATGCATCTAGCTGCCCAATCCTCTGAAGGATCACTACACTGGAGCAGGAGGTATAATTCCCAGGTCAAGAAGACATACCCAGACTAGCTCCGATCGAGCCAATACACTAAAAATAGCAGTGTAGCTGCAGCAGGGCAAGCAGCAGTATGGGCTAGCCACCCAAATACAATCCCGTCTGAAACCCTAGATACATACTCAGGCTGGTGATTCCACCTCACTACTCACACTGCCTCGGCTGTACTTCTATTTCCCGTGGACTAGCTTGATCAGAGCTACCACAGCTATGTCTACCCATTTAGGAAATTACACCTCTAGCTCTACTGTACCCATATTCTGTGCTAGGGGCTCCTCAATATCACTGTGATTTTTAACTAAGCTTTAAATTCATTGTATTTTTCTGGAGTGGGGGAGCCAACGTTCACCCCCTTCCCTGAATAGCCTTCCTGGAGCCAACAAGGATTAACAACCTCTTTAGAGCCAATACAGCTCCTCCTAGACCAGCCAGCCCTGCTGAGAGTACTTTCTTCCCCCAGAGTTTACCTAGGGATTGTCAGAGTGGATAAGACCCATGATTCATCCAGTCCAGTATCCTGTCTCTGACAGTGGCCAGCACCAGCTGTTTCGGAGGAAGGTGTAAGAACCACAGAGTAAACACATTGGCAAAGCTAGGTCATGGACAGCCAGATCTAGTGGTCAGAGCCAGAATCCACAGTCAGGATTCAAGAGTCAGCTGTAGGACATCAGAGGCAGGAGACAAACCACAAGTTTGTAACCACAGTCAGGCTGGGTCAGGATACCAGGGTGTTAGAGGCAGGAGACAAAGCAGAGATCAGAACCACAAGTCAGAGGTCAGGAGCTAAGCCAGGTCGGATGCCAGGAAACCAACGCAGGTGAGCAGGAAGCACACAGTCCAGAGCAGGCTGGATCCCAGTTGTTCAGACAGCTTCCTGTTCCTGTTGCTGGCTTAAGTAGGGCCAGCAGGCCAATCAGCTGCTCTGTGGCTCCGCCAATAGGACGTCAGGGGAGGAGCCTCAAACTGGGGCTGGGCTTCATGAGTCCTGGGTCAGCAGCTGTCAGCAGGCTACCAAGAGGAAGGTTGAAGCATGGCTGTTCCTGTGAATCCTTTGGCCCTGGGTTTGAGCCCTGTGGGTCATGATGCAGATGTGGGATAATCTGCCCACCTCATTCGGTCTCATCCTGATCCCTAATAAACCTCATGCTTCAGGGCCTAAGTCTAACATCTCTCTCAAAGGAAGGATCTCCCCTCCTTGGGAGAAAGAGACTGAACCAACCCAGAAATCAGAGCCAGATCAATTATTATTGTTATTCACTCTCAAGCTGCGGAGCAGAGTAGTAGGCACATGACCACCAGTTCAGACCTGTATTTTTCGTTGTCATAATCGTCCTCCAAATGTCATCGGAAATCCCCAACTCAGAGGGTCCCGCCTGCCAAATGGGTAGGCATGAGCTCTGACCTACTGTCGAATGGTCATATTAAGGTGGATACATTCTGCAGAGCTGGGTTTTTAACATCAGTCACTCTGTTGCCAAAACATTTGTGAGATTCAGCTAGGCCAGTTCTACAGCAACAGCTAACTCACCACACCCACTCTTTGTGGAGGGTCTAATCCTGCAAGGTGCCAAGCATCTCCTGAGAAGCACTGAACACCCTTTGGTGGGAGCTGAAGGTGCTCCTGCCTCTTGCAGGATAGGCCACAAGCCTATAAAAATATTTGGAGAAAAATCAAGGTTTGCCAAATGAGTAAAACATTTTTTCAAACTTCTAAAAGGATGCTGCAAATAACGGTGAGTTAGAAATACATTCGATCCTTTATACCAAGATCTTTTGGAGGCAGTTTTGCAGAATAGCATTTCACTGGACAATCAGTATCCTACTTAGTCCATCTTTAGTAAGGTGTAAAAACTCATATTCTCTTTTTTTTTAAAAATACTGCAGTTGTGGCAGTCAGAGATTAATATCAAAGTGACCCACAATTAAATGTTTTGTTTCAGTTCAACAAACCAAAATGTTTCACGTGGGGCAACCTGACCCAGAACTAAATACTTAATTTTAACAGAAAATAAAAAAAAATTGCAAAATTAAGATTTTCCTCTGGAAAATTTCAATTTTGCAAAAATTGCATTTTCCATCAAAAAACATTGCTGGAAAATTCCCAACCAGCTCTAATACATAGAATTAAGCCTATATGCTTCTTACACAATGTCTTTTTTCTCTCTTTTCTGCTTTGACCAGAAACTAGAAAGGAGACATTGAGGCCACATGTGTGTGCATATACACAGCGAGTGAGCGAGAGAGAGATACATTATGAACCACCTTTAAAAAAAAAATTATCATCTCTAATAGGGGAGAAATGGGGGTGTCACTGAAATATTCGTTCTAGCATGGGGCTGTGGTGCCAACTCATCCACAGGAATGTTGTGTTTAGCACGGTGTGTATGTGTGTTTTACTGCTAGATTGATCTTCGTGACGATCCCAAAACTTTGGCTCGACTACTTTATATGAAGGAGAAACCCCTCACTTACGAACATGGAGTGAAGCTGGCTAAAGAGGTATCATTGTTTTGCATGTCCCTATTGTTAGGACCCAGGCTGCAGAATAGTTTGGCCATAACTTTAGTTTCTGTATATTTCACTCAAATCCAATTCTTTCATTTTTTCCTCCATTTTCACTAACTTGGACCCAAACTAAAACCTCAACTCCAAACACACTGAATTTTGCAAGTCTCTAGTCTTACCTTGATTGTTCTGCAATCCCACTAATAAATCTCTGATAGATAACAAGCACATTCCATACAGGAGACATCTGAATGAAATGAAACATCTAATGTTCTTATGTTTGATTTAGGATCAGCCACTGCAGTGTTTTACCGTATTTGGTCATAACAAAACGGATACATAACAGGTTGTTTTACACATCACGGTAAAACAAACTGTACATTGTGTATGTTATTCGTTTACGTGAGCCTATAAAGACATTCCGTGGTTTTCCTGGGAGAAAATGTACATCTGTGTTTGGCAGAGTAACATTAGTCGCTAGAAAAAAAAAAAAAAGAATCGCAAACTACAAAAGCTGCATTTAGGCTGTAGAGATGGGAATGAGCTGGAAAGTTCTCATCTGGACTGGAGCAGTCCCAAAGTTTCAGTGTGTTTGGATCCAGCTTTTTAGCTAAGGCCCATATGTAGAAGACGGATACAAAAGCTTGTCTAAAATAACACGCTCGTATGTATTCTCTCTGGTGCTACATGGGCTAATCACAATGGGACAAATTCTACTCTTAGTCACTCCCATACAAACACAACCCGCCTGATTCTCGTTTACACACTTAAGGCCACTTTACACAGCTAAGTACGGGAGCCGTAAAAGAGACTCAGGCCCATAGACCTCTATTTGATGGGATCTTCTTTTCAGTTCATAATGTATTATTGCTCTGGGTAAGGAGAAGGGATGGAGAAATGAACATGAAATACGTACGTACATCAACGCCAGCAGCATCTGCATTCAGACACAAGCACGTTCCAGCTAGTCACTGCACGTATTGATTATGCGGATATTTAGTCGGAGGGTTCTAAAAGACCAAGCAGAGCTAAAAAGCAGGAGGACTTGCATTTATCCAAATTCATTTCCACAGGCAGGCTCAAGGTTCACACTACATGTGTGCAAGTGCCCACAGAACAGGAGGGTATTTTTGACTCAGTGGCATGCCCCCGTCAATCACCCTGAGCCTGTAGAAGCGCCTCCGCAACGGCTTCATCTCTGTGGAGTTTGATAGGGCAGGCCGAGAGCATGGAAGGGGAGCTAAGGATAGTTATGTTAAGTGACTCAACCACACTGCCAGGGAGCACTTGAGCCAATGCCTCCTGGAAACCCTGCGATCCATCCAATGCCTCCTGGAAACCCTGAGATCCAGCTTCTTCTGTTCAGAGGAACCCCTATGCAGTGGAAGAGTTCCTACAAACTCTCAGCTGGCATACAAGGAGCTTCCTCTTTCTGGCCAGCCCCACCGGCAGACTGTTGCTCCCTCCACATCTCCCTCTGCACTGAGACAATGCTCTGGCATCTATTCTCAATTCCTGTCCCACAAGGCCTACTGGTAGTCCCATGATCAGATAGGAAGCCAGGCCCAAGGCAGAGCTAGGACTTTAATCCATCTTAAAGGCATGGCTCACTCTATATCAGGGAGTTATGTGCATATGAGGACAACAGGATCTGTGGGTCATAAACATGTCCTATTGTCGTCTTCTCCAAACTGTGTATTTATGACCACACTCTCTCTCTCTCTCTCTCTCTCTGTCTTTCTCTCCTGCTTAAGATTGGAGCACAGTGTTATTTGGAATGTTCAGCCCTGACACAGAAAGGCCTTAAAACAGTCTTCGATGAAGCAATCCTCACCATTTTTCACCCTAAGAAAAAGAAGAAACGCTGCGTGACGTGCCACAGCTGCTGTACAGTTGTATGAGGTCACTTGAAAAGCAAAGCAGGACAGTGCTATTGTTCAACTAAACCCCCCAGGTTAGAATGGCAATGAGCGTCACACGCAAACTGAAATGGGGAACATGACCAGAAAGGAGACCTATTAAATCATATATGATTCCTCCATTCTGTGAAACCTCAGGCTGTAACATGTTAGCCAGCTAATGTCTATTTGCTTTCCTAACCCTATAGAGCTGTATGCAGCCTGTTCCCACACTATGCTCATTTGCACTGAGCCAGTATAAAACAGGATGTCTGCTAATGGCTGACTCTGAATCAGGTTAGGGTGCTGTGTTGAAAACTTTAAAGACACTGTAAAACCACCAAGAAAAACTTCATTTGTGGCCTTAAGCAAGAATTGATCAAAAGTATAAATTTATAATACTTAAGAATTAAATATGAATGGATCAAAAGCACTGAGAAATCATTAGAAGTTTAATATGTAATCATATACATTATATATAGGATATACTTTCAAATTACTTTTCTTTATAAAATACTCACTAATTTCAGGATCTACTTTAGTTTGTTTAAAGCAAAACGGTAGTGACTCCAATTCCCAGTCATTTAACTCATGTTACAGCATCAAGCCATCAAAATGGATCAATATTTACCTCCAGATTGAAGGAATGTTCTTTTTACTACACAAAATGACAAATATCGCCGTTTTACACAGAATGTGTCCAGGCTGGGCCAGGAGGTTTTCAGAAGCTGGGTGAGGGAAAACAGTGTAAGTGAAAAACTGTAGCATAAATTTGCAGAAACAAAGTGATCATATCAACAAAAAATCTTGTGACAGACATGAAAAACCAGGGAGATGTTGCATTAGCATGAGTATTATAAAGTCACTCTACAGATTGGGTGCATTTCCACATCTCACCCAGTGGATGAAAACAAAACCAAACAAGCCAAAGTCACATTAATGTGAAGTGCTTTACAATGATCCAGTTGCCTTATTTGAAATAGTTTTTTAGAAATGATCTTGTGTAAAGGTATTAATTGGAGCGGACTTTTAAACATGTCTATTTACTGTAGTCCTCTCTCTGCTCTTCATTGCTTTGTCTGTGTCGTCCATGTTCATTATTGCAATTAGCAGTTAAGGTATAGTGTGGGTATGCTACTCAGGAACTTTCTTTCAGACAATATGCAGGATGATGTGCTGCGGCATGCAGTCCGGAGACAGGAAGCCTGAACCTCAAGGGAATGAAAGCTGACAATAAGCCCTCTTTACTGTTGAATAAAGTGGGCCTTTTTGCTAAGGTTTCTCCAGGGAGCCTGTTGTTTTGCACATCCCAGCAAGATGCCGTTATACCACAGACACTCGGAGGTGAACTGTGAGGGTGTCTTATTACTTACATCTGCCTACGAGTGCCTTGGAAATGCCCATGTAGCTGTCTTGTTATGGATTTCATTTCTGATCGTACCTCTCCAAGGCATACAATTACAATGCCAGCAAATCCATGTTTCTAGACCTATAAAGTAATTCCCTGAAAAAAGCAACAGCCAGAGTCAGTGTTTCCAGCCCTAGTATGGAACTGCACCCTCTCTCACCAGCAAAGTACTAGCACGGGGATTAATTTACCCACCCAGTGCTTGGAACAGCCAGCATTCTCCTCTTTGGATGTACTGTACAGTGCTTGAGTCTACAGAAGGGCAGCTAGACAGCCTCTGCCATTAACAGGAGATTGGGGAACCAATCCTACAGTCCTTACTCAGGCAAAACTCCCACTGGCTTCAGTGGGATTTTGAGTAAGGACTGTAGCATTCGGCCCAAAGTAAGCAACACCATAGATACAAGGCTCAATCCCATATTCATTGCAATCAAAGACAAAACTCCCATTGACTTCAGTGATGACAGTATCCTTTACTACACAGATATTTATAGAAGGTTTTCCTATGTGAGATCGTTGTCATTATATTGTAAAAGCCTTGCTCTGGATTCCAGCTGCACGGCGCCCATTAAAATCAGTGGGGAGTACATGGCTAGAATGTACTGGCTGTAACTTAAGGGTAAATGAAGCAATTTCTGTTTTAGTAAATGCAACTCATTAGAATTCAAGGGCCCTCAATCCTAAGGACACTAATTTATGCTTTGCCGTTGACTCTAAGAGGAGCAGGATCAGATGCCAAAACATTTATATCAGTACAGGTCTCCCATTATCTCCGAGACGCAAGGGATATTTAGCTATGGTATTGGTAAATAAGCGTCTTTTGCTATATTATTGCTAAGGATACGATTCTGTCGTGGAGGTCAAAGATTCCATGACTTTCTGGGACCTCCGGGACTTCTTCCAGGGCAGGGCTGGAGCAGGTGTCATCCCCAGGACCGCCAAAGCAGCAGCTCCAGGGCTGAAGCAACGGCCAACGTTGAGTCAGTCCCACTGGGGCTGAAGCTGCAGCTGTCAGCCCCTGCCACAGGAGCAGCAGCAGGATTAGAGCAGCGACCAGTGGTCAGCCCCACTGGGGCCGCTGGAGCAGATAGCTGGTGGTTGATCTCAGGGTCACCAGAGCAGCAGTCCCCCAGCCTCTGGAATGGCAGCCGGTCCCAGGACCACCAGAGCAGTGATCCTCCAGGCTGCCGGAGCAGCTGGCCAGCGGTCAGCTCTGGAGCTGCCGGAGCAGCAATCCCTGGGCAGCTGGAGCAGCTGGCCAGCAGTTGCCCCAGAGCAGTGGCTGGGCTTGGATGAGCCCTCCTGAGAATGGAGCAGCAGCGGGGTCAGCCCCCAGTAGCACTGGTTGTTAGTCCCCCCATCCTGCCCCCGCAAGGTATTTTTTTTGTAAAAGTCAGGAACTGTTTATTGCCCCTGACCTGTCCCTGACTTTTAGTAAAAATACCCGTGACAGAATCTTAACCTTAATTATTACACAGTGGAATTGTGATAAACATTGGGTCACTTTCCGTGGACATGGCTGAAAATGAAGTTGTAGTAAGTCAGAGATGCTAAAGGAAATCCTGTGTGTGCCTTAGGGTATAAATCCCTAGTGAACACTCTGGATCCCGTTTCATCCTGTCAAAGGGGTTGCCTTAGAATATGTTGACAGAAAGTTTGGGAAACGTAGCTCAGACCAGAAAGCGAGCCCGGCGATGATGCCATTTTCTTCCGTACGAAAGGAGCTGTGGTTTGCATCTCAGTTAGGTGAATGTGTTAATTTCCTAGTGCAGTTGGGCTGCAGGGAGCATGTCTGGCAGTGGGTTCCCTGGACTCCCACGTATCAGAGGTGCAGCAGGAAAGCTAGGAGCAGATTGAATATAGAAATGTTTGGGGACTATTTTATTGACTTAGGGCCTGACCCAAATCCCCATGACATGAACAAAAGCCCCGCTCCCCCAACAATTTGTTTCAAAGGACTTTGTATCAAGGATTTAGAGCTCAATCTGACCTCACTGAGGTTTGCCACTGATTTCAATGGAAGATGGCATGCTTATTCCGTTCCCCGGGAATTGAGTCGATATACAGTATACATATACCTATGAGTCCCTGGGCATGGGAGAAATGGGGGCCAAGTGTCTTTCACCTGAACTGCAATACATGCCCTAAGGTTGGATCTGCCAGATAATGTTACAGCTTCTCTAAACTGAAGAGAAATGAAAACTCTAGATTGACAGCTGAGCTTATCATAAAATAATAAGTACTTTGGAAAAATGCAATATATCATTCCCATCGTGCCTCTGAGGAAGCCACAAATAATCGAATGATGGGGTTTGGGTGCTGTTTAATATCAATGGTGCCTGTTAATAATGATGGTATGACATATGATAGGCATGTTAAATCAGAAATTAAATTACCAATTATATCATTACTATAACTGCAGTAATTTTGGGAAACTAAATACTGTGATAATAGATGCTAAAATGCTAATATCCTCATATATTGAAAACTACAGACCTCTGTACAAATCATTGCATAGCAGAGAAAGCAGATGGAGGAATATTATTATTCATGAAAAAATATTTTAATTAATGCGAGGCAAGACTTTTTTGCACTTATAAAGTGAAGTAAATCAATTTTGCAAGGTGATAAAACTGTGAATTAAAGTGATGCTTTCAAGCTGCTTATGACCAAAATTTGACCTATCCTCAAAGGGTAACAATCCACTTAGAAATGGCCTCTGGATTCTATGTATTTTTTAATTTCCTGCCATCAAAAAGAAATGTTTTAAATATACCCACACTTTATGTAGGTCCTACAAGGCCAAATTTTCAAAAAGCCTCTTTAATTGCCCCCTTGTCCCCCAGCCCTGTATTTGTGAGTGCACATATTTCTATGCCCAGTAACTTCCCAGCTGTAAAACTCACTATGTATTTTTGAGAGAAGGAGCTTGGCTTGCATGGGTAAATGTGAGGCACAAGTTGATGCCCTTTCCAAATATTGTGGGCAGTGTTAAGGATGACCTTTGAAAATTGGCCTACAGTACCTTTTCTGCTACGGAGCCAGCAGATGGAGTATGAACTGATGAGCAAAGACTTGTTGTGGCAACACTGATGGTTCTAAAGCAGAAACACGGAAATGAATAGAAACATCAGATTATTTTTCAAGCACCATTAGAAACAACAGAAACAATAAACATTTGCCTACTGAAAGGCTGTAGACCAGCAATCTAATGTTACGGTGCCAAGCACCTGCAGTGCCCACTGGAAATCAGGCCCTGAATTCATAAGGAAGGCAAATGTTATTTTAAAGCCTATTAGAATAAGTAAAGAGTAAAAACTACTCCAAGAAATTATTTGACAATGATAATAGTTTATCTCAATTGATGTCAAAGCCGTTTCTGACAGACCTACTTTTGTTAATAGCCTATTATCTTTTCAAATGCTTTCAGATCTAAAAAAGAATGTGCTAAATCCTAACCTGGGCCTTTTTTAAAAAACCTACATATTCTATCAAGAGTTGGTTTTAATTAATAACTAAAATGTAAATAGGGTCCCAGCAAAAATTTGCGTGGTGAGCTCTTTGACGGTGCATGCCAAGAAATGGATGCTTTGTTGTCACACCGGGTCTGATCAAACAATCCTAATGCTTACAGGACTTCCAGAGACTTCAACCTCAGTTATGTATATATATGTAATGCAGGAGAGGGCACTTAGCAATTAAACAAAATATATTCCTGCAGATAGGAGGGCTTGTCTGTCTTGCATGAGAAATTTCTTCAGCCTAATAAAATTCAAGGGCTTTTCTAATTAATTTGGAAGAAGGCTTTTGTCTTAATTATTATTTTTACGGGAACAATTCTGAACCAAGCTGCCACCAGCGACAAACTTTGTTAAGCTTGGCACTCTTAACATACAAACATTCTTAAGTCCATAAAACTGAATGCAGAGCCTGGGGCATGTGGCCTGGACTTGAAAACTAAAGCTGATCTTTTCAGAACTGTCTGAATTGGGCATTCAGCTCTCTTAGGCATCCTTGGATCTCTCAGCCTAAAGGTACCAAAGTGGTATCTAATGAGGAGCAACAAGAAAAATGTTTGCACACATATATTTAAAGACCTGATCCAAAAACCACTGACGCTGATAGGATCCTTTCAGTTGACTTCAATGGGCTTCCGATCAGGCCCTAAATTCAACAATAATATACACTATGTTTAGTGATATTTCTGTGATCTATTTTAACGAGATTGCCCATGTTGCCTGTTCCCCTATCATGTCATGTAGGAGAGGATGCTACTGACTTAGCGTGGGTCAGATTGTGGCTGGCCCTGCACGCTGGTGCAATGGAGTAAGGGGGTGTGAGGCACACCCTTATTCTTTTGTGTGTCATACCACCCCTTGTAGCACATGGGCAGTAGCAGGTTCCACAGCACCAGTATGTCTCTCTCCCATTTGCCCTGTAGGTCCTAGCCCTAGTGAGTATGCATATCTCTCACTGATCTGCCTTTTAAATATCTACCGCGCAACTTGTAAAGAACAAGCTGTTACATCAGATCAAGAAACAAAATGTTTTTCTCAAGAAGGGCCCAATCCGGCACCCAGTGACGTCAATGGGAGTCTTTCCATTGACTTCAGTGGGTTTTGGATTCGACCCTGAAAGCCTGCATTGTTAATAATCTGAGAATTAAATGCTAAAGATTAAGATAGCTGAGAAAGGAAGCCCTAGGGGCCATGCCTCCTCCCACTGGTGTCAGTGGCCAAACTCCCACTGAGTTCAACAAGAGCAGGTTCAGGTGCCTGAAAGACAAGCCGCAACACCAAAGAGATTTGCTTGATCAGTGTCTCCCATCAAAATCATAGAATCACTGAATATCAGGGTTTGAAGGGACCTCAGGAGGTCATCTAGTCCCACCCCTGCTCAAAGCAGGACCAATCCCCAACTAAATCATCCCAGCCAGGGCTTTGTCAAGCCTGACCTTAAAAACCTCTAAGGAAGGAGATT